CCTTAAAGGCGGTTGCTGCCATTCAAATTAGTGGTTCGTTGGAACACAACACATATTTTTACGATTCGGTCACCGTACAGCGCGAAAAGCAGCGCCAAATCAGGGTGGACTTTCGCCAGAGAGGGCATTTTTCCTCATGCAGCGCCAGTCTAGTTCAGCGCCAAAACGTCCACCACCGGCGCCAACGCCATTCCCGCTGGCGACTGCTGACACCTACTTGAAGTGCTTTGCGTTACTGTCGCGTTGGAGACGGCACCACGCACGCCAGCTGCTGCGGTCTGTGGATGACACAGTCATCCTCTGGCAACATCAGACAGGTGTGACCAAATGCCTGCACCGGATCAGTGGTCAGCGCCGACCGACCCGGCTCACCGGGTAGATACTGATATGGAGCAAGGCAAGATACAGATATGGAGCTGCGCACGCTCTGCGATGCCGCGACCGGTTCTAACGCGACGCGTCCTCTTCGAGCAAGTGCTGGGGGACACCGACACTAGATTTACCTTACCAGTGGGTAGGCCGCAAAACCAAGGCAACCGGCCAGTGGTTCAGCTTTGAGTTTCGGCGACCGAATCTTTCCAAGAAGGCGAATTATGGGATGACTGCAGCATCGCGCAGGAGCCAGCAGCACGCACGATACGCAAACCCAACGGCACACAAACCGCTAGCGCAGTTGGGAAAGACTGTTGAAAAGGTGAAACAGGTTGCCCGATGTCAGGCAGACTACAGAAGCAGAGGAAGACAACAGCCCGAGGCAAGACAGAAGGACCCAGCGTGACAAAGCGTGTGTGTTGTGATGGAGAACACGTCGATGTCGTGGATGCTTTAGCTGCACCGCTGCACTCAAAATTTTCAGGATCTATGAGAATTTACTGATAATAGCCGGAGAACAGCTGGTTGAAACGTGTAAGCGTTGTCGGTCATAGTGGGAATAATCATTCTATCTTAATGATATTCCTCCGATCATTTCGCCTCCCGGAGCTCGCTTGCTGGGCAGTAGAAGCTTCTGTCTAAAGTGAGCCTTTCTCCAATAATGCATGTTCCTATCTGACCATACTCAGGCGTGCACAATGTTGGCCTTTATTTGTCTTCGTGCCCTCATTCTTAAACAAGCATTCATCATATACGTTTCTTTTTGGTTCACTACAATTCTGCGCGAGGCTAACTTTCATAACTGAAATGAGGATTACTGATTCACAGATACGGTGGTAACAGCCATATGCTGAACTCTGAGCATCGTGAGCGTAAGGCGTGCTTACGAAAGAGCACCGATATCGCGGAATAATAAGCTGTCCTGGTATAAATACTTGTAACTACGTCTGTCTATTGGCGAGAATTACCGACTTGATCCAGCCCAAAGACGTCCCTAGCGACATATTGATGTTTGGGTATCTTTCAGTATTGCAGCCCGCGCCAGCAACAGCCAGCCCTACTGCGTACCACTTCTCAACGCCGTCTGCATTAACAACATCCATGAACACAGAGCCCCAATCCCCTGGTTTGATAGCGCACGGGATCTCTGCTGTAGGCTGTATAAACTTCGTGCAAAACGTCTCCGTCTCAAATTTGGTTTTGGCATGACTATCGGAATAATTGCTTCTACAACCCTGAAGATCAACTACCCTTAACCTCGCCCACTTGAGCGCCAACAGGCCATCCAAGTCACTGAAACTGGGGGAGCCCCAGCCCGCGAATATGAGGTCCTTGCCCGCTCTCACGGTGGACGGACGTGATGTGTCGTGCAAGCATATTGGGCTTACGGTGTCAGACAGCGAAATTCGCGATGCAGTTTTCAGCAGTGCGATGTTATAGGCTGCATTTTGCGGTGGTGCGAAGTTCGGATGCAGCACTGACTTGACAACGTCCATTTCGATCGTAGCACTGGGGTTGTTGCGCGCGCGGTTCTTCAAGTCCAGCTCCCCGAAGCGCACGCTCAACGGACCAACCTCGCTGGCACAGGTCGCTCCCGTCAGCACCCACCGGTCAGAGAGGATGGCACCCGAACAGAACACCTACACTCTCGCCAAAACGCCTTGGTGGCGATGGTGACCATCCAGGGCAAGTCTGCGGCGTTGTTGACTCGCGCGGCGCCCAGCTGCGCCGGCGGAAGAGAAGCGAGTGCGTCCGCAGCCGGCGCGGCGCGAGGCTGCCGCCGTTCGTCGGGGACAGCAGAGCAGCGGCGTGGAGGCCGCGTCCAGCCCGCAGACGGGCTGCCCCACCACGGCAGGGCCGGTCGGCCGCCGGCCGCCGGCAGTAGGCCGGGGCAGTCCTGCAGGCGGAGACAGAGGCCGGCCGCGCCGGCCGGTGTGGAGCAGGCCCTGACGCTGGCCGCTCTGGGGACGGACGGCGGTCAGGGCCGCCGGACGGCGCCGGCTCCTCGTCCAGCTCCAGCTGGAGCCGGCGCAGCAGCCAGTCGACGTAGGTCGACAGTTTGTGTAGAGGCCCCGGCGTGCGGCCACAGCCCCGCGGGTCACCGGACGACGTGACGCCGTATGCCACGAAGCGGCCGGTATCCGTGTCGCGGCAGGTCAGCGGGCCCGCCCCGAGTCGCCCTCGCAGCTGTCGGCGCCCCCCGTTCGTCGGGCCCGCGCAGAACATGGCGCCGGGCACGAACCGGCCCAGGTGGACCTCGGGAGAGCCGCAGAAGGCGTCCGACACCAGCGGCACCGAAACGCCGCGCAGCGTCTCCGAGAGGGGCGCGCCGTCCGCGGTCCGACCCCAGCCGGACACCTCGCACGGCAGGAACGTCTCGTACTCGGCGCCGGCCGCCGGCAAGCACGCCGGCTGCACGAAGCGTCCGAACTGGATGTCGAGTCCGGCGCGGCGTCGCAGCCGCAACAGCGCCACGTCGTTTTGTAGTCCTGGTCCGCTGCCAAACTGGCTGTGCACGTGGTGGCTGGTGACCGCGAACTCTTGCTCGGCAGTCTCGCGTACGTCGAACCGGAGGTCGCCCACGCGCACGAGAAGCCGGCTGATGCTGACGCTCACCACGCAGTGGGCGGCAGTCACCACATGCTGGCGCGTGATGATGATGCCGCCGCACTGGTGCACGTAGCCGCGCACCTCGGGGTCGTACATCACCAGCAGCGCCTGCCACGGGTACTGGCCGTAGTAGGCGGTGGTGTTGCCCGGCCCGGCCACGAGCGGGCGGACGGCGTCCGCGGGGCGTACTAGGCGCCGGCCGCAGTCCAGCGGCAGCAGGGTCGGCCGGCCGCTGTTGGCCGTGGGCACGGCGCCGAGCGGGCCGGCGGCCACCGCCAGCAGCGCCGCACCGAACGCGGTAACCGCGCTCACGCCCATCGCGGCCCGCTCCAGGCTGATGTCGCCGCCCGACTGAGCCGATTAGCGGGCGCGTGCGGCTCGCAGGCCGGACCGGAAATTCCAGTATGGGAGGGGGGGGGGGGGGAAACACAGAGGCGCGCTCAGTGACGTACCCTGGATACGGACGATATGGCAGGCACCGAGCTCGTCGAAAACACAAAATTCGTGCTTAGATTTGATGTAGAAAACAGTGACCCCTCTAGATTTTTATGCACCTTTCTATATAATTGTCCCTTCGCTCTTATTTGGCATGCAACTCAGACCTAATCCTTAGTGTGCCTCGTCCCGCAGAACGCATCTGCGAAAGATGCTCTTCGGCAAGATCTATTTGTGCAGTGCGCCACTGAAAGTATCTGGCGAATCAAGGCCAAATAACTGCTTGTGGGCGCAGCCGGTCATTGCATAATCTCTGCAGGATCAAATTAGTCAGAACTTCAGAACATGAACTTCTGTCCGGCCGCCTGGTTTTGAGTCCATCCGGGCACGATGGCCGATAGTCCTATCATTGGTCGGAAGCGTGAGGTTGATAACCCCGAAGGCGTACGCAGAACGGAGCGGTGGAAATCCCCGACTGTGGAGATCAGATAAGGTCAGGTGGGATCAAGATCACGTTGCATCGCATTGTTCTTGTATGAAAATTGAAGAACTAGTTTTAAGAACCTTAATAACATTAAATCTACTACTCTTACGTTTAATTGCCACCGCTTAGTGTGTCCAATCCTAAGTTAAGCCGAGTCTGGTTGTACGGTGTGACTGGGTTGATCATGTAATATTATCTTGTTTCCACTGGAGCGTGATGTACAATCGTTACACGTTCTGACCTGTCTGTGAGGGGCGGTAAGTCTGTAATACCGCTGCAACATTTCGACCAGGGCAGGTCGAGTTATCGGACCTGCCCGGTTCGTTCGGAAAGGAACAGGTACAGCCTCAGCTCTCACCGGAGGGGAGTACTATATTCGGGAACTGCTCCGTAGGTAATATATTCGGGAGCATGGAGAGCGCCGACCAACATTTTGCCGCCACAGCCCAACATATACACGCTGGCAACGCTAGTCTGTTCACGTCCGTCCTCTCAGCTGGCTAGAGGGCCTACCTTCCGCACCACCCACCCGTCGCAGGGTGGGTTCGAGTCGCTTCAGGCGCCCGCTGTTTACCTTTGCCAGGTGTGACCCGCGGCCGGTGGCAGCGGCCGCGCTAGAGGTCAGGTGACAGCAGAGGGCAGGACGGACCGCGGCGAGCGTTGCGGCACGTTACGCTTTCGCTACCAAATTCAGCCGCTGACCTGGCATTGCGCGATCGCACGCTAGAGGTCAGGGCTCAAACGCAAGCACCGCTCAGCGTGAGCTCTGGTCCCAGAAATCCATCCGGTCAAAAGATCCGGATTAGGTATTTAAAGAAATGATGGCATGTTCTGTTCTGAATGGTTCTCAACGGTTCAAAGCTGAAGTCGTGCAAATAAAGACGCACCATACTCTGACGTCACTCGACGCATTGAACCCAGTGGCGTCCTGTGTATGTGTCGACTGTGTCGGCTGCACATGTGTCACTGTCGACCATGTCGGTGGCGTCAGCTGTACGTGCGTCACTGTCGACCATGTTGGCTACACACGTGTCGGCTGCGACGGTCGCGAGTGCGTCACTCTCGGCCATGCTGGATGCACACCTGTCGACTGTTGCAGACGCGGCCCACGTGCCGTACACGCCGTCCGTCCAGTACCTGGCCACCGGTAGCCAGGGCGTCATACGGTGTCACATCAAGGCCAACCCGCCCATCCAGTTCGTCACGTGGTACCGCAACCGGCGCGACTACGACCCGAAGAACGTCACCGGCGTCTCCCTCCTGCCCAACGGGTCATTGCTCATCGACAAGGTCCGCCGCAGTCGCTGCTTACTCGAGCGGACTGGGTGTATGTGATGCGCTCTCTCGACTGGATGTTTGTGATGAGCAATGATACATTTGTTATATGGTCTTACCGACTTGACAGGCTCATTTTCCATTGTCTAAATCCATTTGCAATGCCGGCTTAACTTTTGGAAGGAAGATTGAGGAGATACGCGATCTACTGTTACAGACTGGGAATCTTGATTTGCTCTCGCTGACTATGCATCCGTCATAGCTCCCACAACTCCACTTCGCATCACTGAGAGCCGCATCCATGAATATTAGAGATGGAAGAATGTATTCCAGCCTTGTGAGGAAAAATGAGGGATCTCAGTACACCCATAATCGCTGCAACTTTTATCCAAAAGTTATTTGAAATTACATGACATCGTCGGTTGCAGTGCAGGAGAGTTTGCCATCTGTTGAAACAATCAGGGAGTTTTAGGACTTATAAATTGTATTGAATTTACATTTGCAAGTGATGAACTTGAAACAGTCCAAGGCCATGTGAAGACACCCTGAGCTTGACGCTCGCTGTCAATCATTTTGCGGCCAGAAGACCTTCGAGCGCCGTCACCTCTTCACTTCCACACTCCTGTCCAGTGATCTCCCCGCCGCTTGTCAGTGGTCTGAGGTGCCCCGCCGCTAGTCAGTGGTCTGAGGTACCCGCCGCTGGTCAGTGGCCTGAGGTGCCCCGCCGCTGGTCAGTGGTCTGAGGTACCCGCCGCTGGTCAGTGGCCTGAGGTGCCCCGCCGCTGGTTAGTGGCCTGAGGTGCCCCGCCGCTGGTCAGTGGGCTGAGGTGCCCCGCCGCTGGTCAGTGGTCTGAGGTGCCCCGCCGCTGGTCAATGGCGTGAGGTGCCCCGCCGCTGGTCAGTGGCCTGAGGTGCCCCGCCGCTGGTCAGTGGCCTGAAATACCCGCCGCTGTTCAGTGGCCTGAGGTGCCCCGCCGCTGGTCAGTGGTCTGAGGTACCCGCCGCTGGTCAGTGGTCTGAGGTGCCCCGCCGCTGGTCAGTGGTCTGAGGTGCCCCGCCGCTGGTCAGTGGCCTGAGGTGCCCCGCCGCTGGTCAGTGGCCTGAAATACCCGCCGCTGTTCAGTGGCCTGAGGTGCCCCGCCGCTGGTCAGTGGTCTGAGGTACCCGCCGCTGGTCAGTGGTCTGAGGTGCTCCGCCACTGGTCAGTGGTCTGAGGTGCCCCGCCGCTGGTCAGTGGTCTGAGGTGCCCCGCCACTGGTCAGTGGCCTGAGGTGCCCCGCCACTGGTCAGTGGCCTGAGATACCCGCCGCTGGTCAGTGGCCTGGGGTACCCGCCGCTGGTCAGTGGCCTGAGATACCCCTCGTGCCAGTTGTGCTGACCCGTACCGGGCGCTCCCAGGTGAGCGCCGCCCACCAGTTGTGGTGACCCGTACCGAGTGCTCCCATCAGTTGTGCTGACCCGTACCGGGCGCTCCCAGGTGAGCGCCGCCCACCAGTTGTGGTGACCCGTACCGAGTGCTCCCATCAGTTGTGCTGACCCGTACCGGGCGCTCCCAGGTGAGCGCCGCCCACCAGTTGTGGTGACCCGTACCGAGTGCTCCCATCAGTTGTGGTGACCCGTACCGGGCGCTCCCAGGTGAGCACCACCCAACAGTTGTGGTGACCCGTACCGAGTGCTCCCACCAGTTGCGCTGACCCGTACCCGGTGCCCCCAGGTGAGCGCCGCCCACCAGGGCACCTACCGGTGCAGACCGTTCAATCTGTACGGCACCGGCGGCGAGTCGGGCGAGATGCAGGTGGTGGTGCGCGAGCCGCCCCGCTTCGTCGTCCGGCCCAACAACCTGTACCAGCGGCGCGTGCAGGACACCATCCGGATGCCGTGCGTGGTGCAGGGCTCGCCGCCGCCCGAGGTCACCTGGAGACGGGTCAGTGGAGGGGTAGCACTCTAGGTCATCTGGAGACGGGTCAGTGGAGGGGTAACACTCTAGGTCACCTGGAGACGGGTCAGTGGAGGGGTAGCACTCTAGGTCACCTGGAGACAGGTCAGTGGAGGGGTAACGCTCTAGGTCACCTGGAGACAGGTCAGTGGAGGGGTAACGCTCTAGGTCACCTGGAGACGGGTCAGTGGAGGGGTAACGCTCTAGGTCACCTGGAGATGGGTCAGTGGAGGGGAAACACTCCAGGTCACCTGGAGACGGGTTAGTGGAGGGGTAACGCTCTAGGTCACCTGGAGACGGGTCAGTGGAGGGGTAACGCTCTAGGTCACCTGGAGATGGGTCAGTGGAGGGGTAACACGCTAGGTCACCTGGAGACGGGTCAGTAGAGGGGTAACGCTCTAGGTCACCTGGAGACAGGTCAGTGGAGGGGTAGCGCTCTAGGTCACCTGGAGACGGGTCAGTGAGATGTACTGCGTCCATCGGAGCCGCTGACAGTTGGATAATGTCTGATCGTGCTGTACCCGCAGCGTGCGGATAGGCAGGGGTATTTCTGTAATGCATACATTAATGTCTGGTAGATCCATTATTATATGAATGGCATCGCTCCCTTGTATCGCATATATTTAAGAAACGCGTCGTCTCGACTAAGTTTACTGACATGTGACTGGCTTCTCTGTGACTGTCGTCTGTATTATTAAATCAAACCCTCGGCGTGATCCGCCCCAAACTGAGAGTTGATGCTCGAAGTTGTGCTCAAAGCCCACTGAATGTGAATGTGTGTTTGACTTTTGCTAGACGATGCAACGCGCCCCGTCCGCGTTGGACGAACCCCTTGCCCTGTAGCCGGCCCTGATCAGCAGAGGTGACGAGCGCGCGGCGAGCGGCGCCTCCCAGCGCCGGGTCCTGACCGTCGGCTGACCCCTGCTGCAGCACGACAATCAGAGTTTGCCCAGTGACCGCGTGGTACTAGAAGAGGGCAACATCACCATCCGACTGCTGCGCAAGTCCGACTTCGGCTACTACGAGTGCGTGGCCCGCAACAGCGTGGCCACCATCGTCACCTCTACCCAGGTGCCGAGAACGGGAAGCCAGAGGAGGCGCCGGGCACGTGCTGTGGTGGAGGGAGCGCCAGGGTGCAGGATGGACAGAGGCTATGTGAAACAGGGAGAAAAAGTTTGGAGGAGATCATGATACAAAAAGACTTATTGAAAGGAGGGATAGTGCAGGCTATACGGATAGGCAGGAAAAGAAACCCAGCCGCAAAGAAGAAAGCATCTGGAGTGGGGTAGACACAGAAAGCGATGGAAGGAAGAGGGAAGCATTGGACGGAAAAAGGGTTGTGATAAAAACATTAGGTGCACGGTATTACAGAAAACGTCGGAGAAAGAACGGAGAAAGACTATAATCTCCTGGTTTTTCTCATTTTTAGTCCTGTATCCGAAAATACTTGTTAAACGAATGCATCATACAAACATTGAGATATATTACGAAAGTATTAGATGTTTCAAACACTGTTCGTGGTAACGTCTCCGTGTGCGCCGCTAGAAAGGTTGAGCCAAATGACTGCTGGATATTTCCGTTTAACCAGTGACTAATGGTAGATTAAAACTCGGCTGTCCTCAGCATGATAACGGATGAGAGCATGTCCAAACACTATGTTATTCAGGGGCTTCTCTCAATGTCACTCGTCTCCCCAGCTTGTGGTCGAGGGGACGACAACTCATCCGCCACACGACATCACAACCAACGCCTCCAGCTACGCCATCACCATCCGCTGGCTGCCGGGCTATAGCGGCGGGGACAGCTTCGACCAGAAGTACGCCGTATGGTGAGTTAGGTCAATGTCAGCTGAACGTCACACGAACTGCCGTCCGACTAACCCAGCGCCTTCTGCGTAGCGGCTGGAGCACTCTCTAAGGTCTGCGACTGGTGATCTGTCACAAAATCCGTTTTTCTTCCCAACCGAATCATTTTTCTAAACCCAACGGTCGTGACTTCCGTTGATGTTGCCGGGTCCGGTGCGAAACTGCGCGTGAATAAAATCATGCGGTTTTATAACTCTCATGCAGAAAAAAATAATAGAAAGCGTTCAGATAACTATGGGCAACTGTCTTGAAAATGACAACATGGTTGGGCAGTCAGCCTTTCTGTGTTCCTCCAAAAATAGGCTACAATGTGGTCCGCACGCTCCACATCACGAAGTTTTCCGGCATCGGCTGGATTGCGCAGGTGAAAAAGTGTCTTTGAAGGTCGGCAACCAGAGGTTAGCGTTGGGAAGGTTACGTGCATAGGTGTAGGCTACCATATCACATGGCGATATGGAATACAAGTATCATATGGCAAAACAAGTCACATTTTCCGTAGCTATAAAGGTCCCTTCTGCGGTATGAGTATGTACTATGTACACCTACGTATACTATGTACACCTATGTATAGTGGTACATAGATGCATACAAGTGTCATATGTGCAACGCACATCATCACCACCCGGACGTACATAGATACCATCATGTAAGTTAGATCTCAGTATAGGCTAATAAAGGCTACAAGCATTTATAACCCTCACACCAGTCTTATCATTAATAGGTAACTGCATCGTTAGCGTTGATGCTTAGGCTTGACGTATAGGTTAGAAATTAACGAGCCATTATTTATTATACTATGTATTCTTATCTTATCTTATTATGACATTAATTATTGTCTTTTTTCTGCAAAGCCCGCTAAAAGATGAACAAGCTTTCGTTCGATTCATACCAAGGCTGAGATCATTCACACATCACCAGATGACAGTGTTAAGGGCTCATTCCTCTTTGTGATACTTTCACACAAATTTTAATCGTCTTGGCAAGCTATTGGCTTTTATTTGCTACTCTATCATTATGCTGACGACCATTCTTCATCCGTTAGGAAGATCACCGGGGTATCGTTTGAAGCCTGGCTGAATTTGGGCCGACCAATGCCTGGCGATCTGAATAGACGAAATCAGTTGACTTCGATATGCTAGATTGGTTGTATTGGTTGACTTACTCTAGGGCTGGATCTGTTTTTGGCCGGTGTGCGCAAGCTTGTTTGCGATGTGGAAATTTTGCTTTTCCCATGTCTAGCGACTTGGGAGGTGTAACTACCTTGTTGTTGCAAGGTTGCAGGAATGCTCGCCTGATCAAACATATTGCATTCAATTACTTTGAGAACATCACAGTACTACTTACATCAAGGTCCTTAAATTGGGTACATGTTGCTGGAAACTCATGGAGCTGCAAATATATCAGCCTGGCAGAATGTGACGGGCGGGGACGGGCAGCGGGAGCCACAACTCCGGTTGGTTCGCTTGAAGACCCGCTCGACCTGCAGCCTTGCTCGCAGGTACGGGCCTTTCGGAGCATAGCAAACTTGGTTATGGGACAAGACGCTTTGAGTTCCAAGGCGAAACAGTTTGCGCTATTTCGTTTTCCTGTTGCGATCTAGCGGACGGAATTCTTTACTGTCAGCAAATATATTGCGCCATATCTCCCCAGCCCACCAAAATTTGCGCCCAAAATTGACGTCCGCGATTGCTTAAGCTGGGTGCCAGTCGCTGGCGACAAAGAAAAGCGGCCACCTGAACATTGCTCAACACATTTTCCTTGGCGGCATGTTTCATGCCAATGCTGCTGTGTTGATATGACGGCGTTCAAAGTAACACGAGTAAGTGATACTACACGACTTCATCGCTTTTACTTCGGCAAACGGTGTAAAAAACTTCGAGACCAGGACGCCTGTTATCGCGACGCGTTTATTGACCATGCCGTATTGCAGGTATCAACAGGAAGGCACCGGCAATTGGAACACATACGAGATCAAACCGACAGGGAGCTCCTACAACCAGGTGACCATCTACCAGCTGCTGCCAGACACCGCGTACGAGCTGATGGTGGCCGCCAAGAACGACATCGGCGACCGCATGTACTCCGACAAGGTCACCGTCAGGACGCTCGGTACGTTGGCGCCGGCGGGCGCCGGGCTGGCGGGCGGTGCCTGTGGCGCCCGTGCGCTGCCCTGACGCGGTCCTGAGCCGGACACCAGGACCCGTCGTCCGGGTCAGGCTGGGATGCCCCAGCTCGGTACCCAGCCCACTGATGTCGCTCTAGTCTGGCCCGCGTCTGCACCGGCGGCGTTAGGCTGTGACGAGGAATAACGTAGTGGTTAGTCGTCGTTGCACTGCCATTCGTACGCAATGTATGGAATTGTTGAGGCCGCTACGACCCTAGATTTTGTGTGCTTTCGCCAGATGTTGGGGAATCGGCGAAGACTGACCCGGCGGTAGACCCGAAAGCCTCCAAGAAAAAGGCGTCTGACGGTTCCGGTAAGCCAACATTCTTGGGAAACACAAGGATAAACATTCAATAGAAACAAGTTGCCAGTCCTAGTCCACTTGATTTTGCTGCCACGTACTAAATTAAGGGTGGGGTTTTCAGATCCGCGTCCTTTTGTTGGTGGCGAATCGCTCGTGGGGACACTCGGGCTGCCCAGCGCCGCGCCTACGCTGCAACCTCACCCACAGGCATCTGCGAAGCACCGTCCCCTTCACGTGGCGCCTTCACCGGGCCGGTGAGCAGCAGCCGGTGTGGATGCGTCAGATGTGGCGGTGCTCCTCAGGTCCGCTTCCGGGAGCGCCGCTCGAGGTGAACGTCACGGAGTCGAGCGGCGGCTTCCTGGTGTCGTGGCAGCCGCCGCTGGAAAACCCGCACGTGCCGGTGCTGTACTACTCGGTGGAGCTGAAGCCGGCCGACGGCGAGTGGAAGCCGCTGGGCGAGCGTCGGCTCACCAAGACGCGCTACACAGGTACTGTTGACCTGACAGGGGCAGTGCACAGGCGGCACAGGGAGCGGGACACCAAGACGCGCTACACAGGTACTGTTGACCTGACAGGGGCAGTGCACAGGCGGCACAGGGAGCGGGACACCAAGACGCGCTACACAGGTACTGTTGACCTGACAGGGGCAGTCCACAGGCGGCACAGGGAGCGGGACACCAAGACACGCTACACAGGGACTGTTGACCTGACAGGGGCAGTCCACAGGCGGCACAGGGAGCGGGACACCAAGACACGCTACGGCACCAGCCGACCTCAGCTTTACTTGGGTCGATCTCGATCAGTCCAAGTTTCATTATGCCAGTGAAGTCGTAAGTGTACACGTGAGAAAGCACAAAAGCGTGCCACCATCACGGAGTACAGCCACGTGTATCAGAACAAACCCACCCGGCAGACGAGGCTGACGTCACGTGGCACTGATTTTCAGTTGAATAGTTACCCCTAGGACATATACCATTGCTATTGCCAAGGGGGGGAAGGTTTGCCGTTTTATGAAACAGTGGTGAAAACTATATATATATATATATATATATATATATATATATATATATATATGTATGTATAATATGCATATATGTGTGTAGGCGACCCAAACAGCTAACTTCGAAGCGAGCGACGGCCGGCACTAACCCTACTAGAATCCGAAATTTAAATCTCACGTGAATATGCGCAGCTCTTCTCTTTAAATCTATAATCTGTGACGCAAGTGATCATCCACACGCCAAAAGAGCGTATTGGGCCGGGCTATATGCATGCATCGGTATTGGTCTACAGGACCAACCTATTTTTGTTCGCTCACACCACACAGATTCTAGCTAAGAGATCATTGGTTTGCATGGCGGTGCTATAAATCTGGGAATATGATGGAATCACGTGAGTGTTTCCTCAAAACCGACGCACATGGGGCTGTGCCACTGCCAACTCGCAGAGAGCGCCTGTCGCAAGCCATTTACGGTGTCTCACCGATGGCTGATTTCCAGTAGTGGGCAGGAATTCCTGAAACCGTCAATCCGTGAATGAACTGGTTTTTTATCTTAATAGACTTCCGCTCTCGTTAACGTCGCTAACAATTCACGGAATCTTTAAGATCGGTTTAGTTTTTGTCTGCTGTCTTTGGGGCTGTTATTTTTTATACAAATTTTCATATGAGTTCAGAGCGTTAGCCTTTGCACCAGTGGTGGGTGACTCCATGGTTTGAGCCTTGATAATATGAGTAAAGGGTAGACAATGGTAGACGTTGACCAACTTCCTGTTGGCACGCATGGGGGTTGTGTTGGGACTGCCCCCTGACATCTCCTGAATGAAGCCCTGGGCATGCCTCATCAGTTAAGTGATTTCGATGCTGGTGTTGTATTATAAGCGACGTACAAAGCCTGAAACCTAAAAAACTTATTCAAAGTCAGGGATTAGATATCACACTCATCATGAAATAGTGTCATCACAGTTTAAGTAACCGATTACCAATCCGTGTTTTGCCACAAACAGCCTGTCGCTTGGGGGCGGGGCACTGCTACTTGGTCATATACCTTGGCATAGCTCCACTTCTTGTGGTCTGGAGAAATCTATGACTTAGCTCATGCTTTATGCCTGCCAATGCCTGTTGCATTGCCTGTCGTCAATGTGCCTGTCGACAATGCCTGTCTCTATTTTTTTTTTTTTGGTCGAATTAGGAATGTTCCATTGGCAGAAGCATTGTGCACAGCTAGCAGAAACCAATGAAACTAGTTATAAGTGGGAAACCTGCGGCAGTTAAGTCTCGATCCACCTTTTAAAAAGACTTACGGGATATAGATCAGCTGGGAACTGGAAAACGTTTTCAGAAATGAACAGTTTGACGGATTAACTTTAATATACGCTAACGTATTTAGTGATTTAGAGGCTTGACTTCAATTTTACAAGTTTCTCAGTGAGCGATTTGCCTCTAAGACTGAAGCTTTAGGTCATCTCTGGCAGACTCTGCTGGTTTCAACAATATCTTTGACAGAGATAAGGTACTTAACAAAATCATGACCACCACTGAGTGTGCCGCTCAGTTCGACGCATTACACCGTGCTCAAAGCACGGCAAATGCTAAATTACTTTTCCAATAAAAGCTTTTAAGCAGATCTAACGCTTCTGGGCTGCGAACACAGCAGATGAGCAAGGTGTTGGATGTGCGGCCACATGGACACCAAGCACCATCCCATCACGAGTTTTGCATGATCCGAGCCTGAGACACTGGCGCCTTCGTGGCCGCGATCCCCCCCCCCCGCTACCGCCGGGGCTGACCGCACGTCTGACCCGGCGGCGCCGCTGTCCGACAGTGAAGCAGCTGCAGGGAGGACGCACCTACTACTTCAAGGTGCTGGCGCACTCGCACGACGGCTGGCGAGAGAGCGAGACCGTCAAGTACGTGGTGCCCGACCACGTGCAGAAGAAGGCCATCACGGCAGCGCTGGTCGGCGGCCTCCTGCTGCTCATCGTGTCTATCATCCTCTCCGTCTGCACCGTCAAAATATGCAATAAGCGCAAGCGCCGAAAACAGGAGAAAGGTGAGCGGACAGTGCTCTCAGCTGGCCACTAGCTGCAGAGCGTGACGATGAGTACGGAATACGATAAAAAATACATTTTGCGTCTTAATTCTTGAGGTGGTACCTTTTTACATGCGTGCTCTTCAGGGAGCATATGGCTGTCACTGGATGTTCCATTTGTTAGTGGTGATCTGGTAGACACGTTTTTCACTAACATATGGTGAGCGGAAAGACAGCAGAGACAGCTCTTCAGTTAGCAACTCTCAAATGGATCCATGCCACAGCTCAGACAGTCCGTAGTATTCGTAGGTGAACACAGTATACTGTAATCGCAGTCCTACAAACATTTTAAACGAAACAGGGCATTTAAAATGACGATAGTATATCAGACAGAATTGTCCGTGCCTTATCACGGCTGCTTATATTTTCGAACCAATGGCGACTTCAGCGTAATTGGTCATGGCGGCGGGCGACTGAGTCGTGTTAGCTAAAATATCCGTCGTGAGCGTCATGACACAACATGGTGGCCTATCGAGTATTATATCTAATATGCTCGCTTTTTTATAAGATACAACAGCACGAGCAGCAGGAAAGCACGGCACAGTGACCTGTGCCATGTTATGAAACACCCGCGTCTCTTCCGGCAGAGTACAACATGGTGGCGTGCCGGGTTACTGAGGCTCGCAGCAGCGTCAGCAGCCCGGTGCCTTTAAATAAGTAAGTACGTCCATATATATATATATATATATATATATATATATATATATATGTATCCATTGAAAGTTCAGATGCACTGATGTCACGTCTTTCAACGGTGTGGCGTGCTCATTTTCCATGATATTCCAAATTTCAGGGGCGTTTTGTAGGTACTGCGTGGCCAGCCAATGATGGCTGCTATGTACGGCAACTGATGTGTGTCCAGGCAGCTGACGATGGCGGTGGTAACAGCAACCCATCAATCCCTGCACACCTTGTCATCGCATCAATGTAAGGCCAGACAGCCGATGCCTGCGATGCGGACACCTCACAAGATGTTTCCCTCGCTCTTCACAGGACTCTGGATAGGGGAGAGAACTCCTCGCTGGAACATTACTAGACGACTGCCAGATGACCTGAACATTACTAGACGACTGCCAGAAGACGTGAACACAAAGGTGGGGGGCCGCGCGATCAGACGTACATGCCTGGTGATCACTCGGCTGGCCCGGGGGTGTCGCAGACTCCGCAGCACCGCCGGTCAGGGGGAGCGTCGCAGACTCCGCGGCACCGCTGGCCAGGAGGAGCGTCGCAGACTCCGCGGCACTGCCGGTCAGGAGGACAGTCGCAGACTCCGCGGCACTGCCGGTCAGGAGGAGCGTCGCAGACTCCGCAGCACCGCCGGTCAGGAGGAGCGTCGCAGACTCCGCAGCATCGCCGGTCAGGAGGAGCGTCGCAGACTCCGCGGCACCGTCGGTCAGGAGGAGCGTCGCAGACTCCGCAGCACCGCCGGTCAGGAGGAGCGTCGCAGACTCCGCGGCACCGTCGGTCAGGAGGAGCGTCGCAGACTCCGCGGCACCGCCGGCCAGCAGGAGTGTCGCAGACTCCGCGGCACCGCCGGCCAGCAGGAGTGTCGCAGACTCCGCGGCACCGCCGGCCAGCCGAGGCGCGCAACACGTCTATGTTCGAGCTGCCGCTTGCGCAGCCCAAGCTAATCCCCAATGTCGTCGCGGATCGTGTGGGCCCAGTGCGGCAGACAGAGACGCCCTGATTTGCGTCGCATGTATCCGACTTCTACCAGAGCTGAGTCCACATGAGGCACCGAGCCCCCCCCCCCCCTCCCCCACGGCACAAGTCTGCCCAGCCGACCTCCACCAGGGCCGAAGCCGCAGGAGGCACCGATCCCCCCCCCCACACACACACGGTACAGGTCTACACAGCCAACCTCCACCGGAGCTGAGGCCGGGGAGGCACCGAGCCCCCACCCCACCGCACAGGTCTACACAGCCGACCTCCGCCAGAGCCGAAGCCGCAGGAGGCACCGAGCCCCCGCCCCACGGTACAGGTCTACACAGCCAACCTCCACCGGAGTTGAGGCCACAGGAGGCACCTCCCCCTCCCCCTACCCCACGGCATAGATCCGCCCAGCCGCGCCAGCCCTGCAGCTGCCCGCGTCCGAAGACGGCCGCACCTAACGGAAAACGTGCTCAGCGGCCATCGACGATGGCTTTGATGTTCCGTTGTTAATTAAAGCATGTCAAGCGCAGCTGGATCGCAAGCATTAAATGCTCAAAATGGAGGCGATAAGTCTCATACCATAAGATCTGCTTCTTAGTGGCCAAAAGTGGTGTTTTTTCTCAACCACTGCTTTCTCCCAGAGGCAGAGGAAAACCGTGACATTATGCTATTGACGTTGGAGAGACGTACAAATGTGGCCAGCCTACGTACGTCACTGTGATACCCGTGTCCCGCGCTTTGCCCAGGGGGTGGCTGAGACGTTCCCAAACGCTTCTTGCGCTGTACATAAAGGGGTTTACGTTCAGGGTGGGTAAGTGCATGCAACTATGGGTGTGAAATGGCTGCGTCACTGACGTCATCGGACGTCACTGGCATGAGCCGCTGAGAGCTGACGGGTGATGACGAGGTCGCCCGCGTGTCTCGAAGACCGTCACCCCCTGGTGAGCGGTGTCACACCCGACCAGCGTCGGTGCCTGCTGCCCAGCCGCCAGCGAGCGCTGGGCCAGCAGTGTCCTCTGCTGGACCGGCTCATCCTGCCGCGCCGCTGGTCACAGATGCCAAACGCACCGGCGGCGAACCCACGACGGCCGGGCCGGCGTCAGTCTGAGTCATGAGCGTGAGCGGATCCCGCGTCTCGTCACTGCCGCTCGGCGGCGTAGGCTCTTAAGCCGGCTGGGGACTGGCTGGTGGTGTCAGCTGCCAAGCAGCTGCCGCCCGGACCAGGTAGTGTCGGTCAGGGGTGCCGTTAGACCTGTAGAGCACGCGGGGGGCTGCTAAAGCTGTCGATGCAAAGCTAGACATGGAAAATATCTACACAAATGGGCGATTCTGAAACAAAAGAACAACGAAGCTGTTGGTTAAATTGGTGGGAAATGTGCAGTCTATTCAGTGATAATATCCCTTTCTTGAGGACGCCCGACATTTCCAAGCGTTGGGCAATGACTCGCACCAGCAGTATTTTAACATGGGGAAACAGACCGCAGCCTGCAGCTCTCCCGGGAGTTGTTCCAGTATAGTTGTAGGTAGACTTTAAGAGCTTGGTTTCCTGACGCCGAAACTGTTTGATGAGGATGTTCAGCGAGCACGGCTGCTCACAGCACGGTCCATATTCGGCGCGATAAACTCTAACAGAAGGACGGATGAAAAAAACGCCGCAGTGCACGTTCCAAACCAGACCTACAGACCGGCGTTGAAGCAAAGGACCGAGTCGCGACGGCCCGTCAGGAGCTCAGGCGGGCTTCAAGTCCGAGCCTGCCGAAAATGAACTCTGTCACGCTATCTGCCCCGCCTCGGGTCCGTGGCAGCATCCTGTACACAAGGCACGGGGTGGGAAGAACGCCTCTTTGAGGAGGGCTGGACGATGCCTGGTGCAGATTTTCTGTTTCGGTCCGTGTTCTGCGTTCCCTGGCTGCCTCCCCACCCGGATGTGTGTACTCGCGATGCCTGAGCCTCATCGATGGCCGGAGCGTCCTCACGCAGGCACCGCGCGCCGCGCGGGTCACGACCGGGTCACGAGCCGCGCTGCTGACCGGGGTCGGCACGCCGGGCTGGCTGCCGCAAGACATGCGTAAAAACGCGTCACCCATAGGTCATGTTTTAATGGTCTTTTGTCCCTTGCTCTTTACGATGCAGTGAACGCTGTAGCCCTGCAAGTCTGTTCCCTGCTCGCCTGTTATTCCATACGGTGGTCACAGTTCTATCGCGTTTTTGGTAACCAAATGTTTGCTTGTAAAGCGTATGCAACTGTAATGATGTTCATCAGATGGGAATACAGTGCTAATTTTGTACTGCAGTGTTTGTTGCATTTTTGCTCCTTCGTAAATCTTCCTTGATAAAGTTCCTAGCCAGCCGCTGTCAAGTCTTACTGGATGCGTGCGAGCATGCAGCACCGGTGGTGTAACATCTCGATCCACCAGTTGCGAAAGAGGGTGGTGAAAGCGGTCTGTCATGTCCTATCACCTCTCCAATGATCTCAGTGTGACAGAGGCCGTAGAAACGGGCCCTGGAAGTGGTGGTAAACATAGGCAGGGGACCCGACGTCTTGTGCGCCCACGCCTCCCAGCGGTCACCTCTAAATGCACGGCGGCGTCATGCCATCACCGGTGTCCAGAACGCTGCACCCTCGCCGGTGCCAGCGGCTCCGCCAGCCGCTCTCCTCGCACCACTCAGACTTCCAGGCTTAGTCTTCTGGTGTCCCCGACATGTCATCTGGATTTATTACCAATAGCAAGCGGTCTCTATGTAACGTTTGGCAAGCCCCGAGGGGAGCGCCGAGGTCACGTCAGGATCCGCCAGTACGAAGGGGTGGCGCCGAGGTCACGTCAGGATCCGTCAGTGGGAGGGGAGGGGGGAGGGGGCGCCGAGGTCACGTCAAGATCCGTCGGTGGGAGGGGGGCGCCGAGGTCACGTCAGGATCCGTCGGCGGGAGGGGAGGGGGGGGGGGGGGGCGCCGAGGTCACGTCAGGATCCGTTGGTGGGAGGGGAGGGGGGGAGCGCCGAGGTCACGTCATGATCCGTCGGTGGGAGGGGAGGGCGCCGAGGTCACGTCAGGGTCCGTTGGTGTGGGGAGGGGGCGCCGAGGTCACGTCAGGATCCTTCGGTGGGAGGGGAGGGGGGGGGGGGGGCGCCGAGGTCACGTCAGGATCCGTCGGTGTGTGTGGAAAGGGGGCACCGAGGTCACGTCAGGATCCGTCGGTGTGTATGGGGAGGGGGCACCGAGGTCACGTCAGGATTCGTCGGTGTGTGTGTGTGGAGAGGGGGGCACCGAGGTCACGTCAGGATCTGTCGGTGTGTGTGGAGAGTGGGCACCGAGGTCACGTCAGGATCCGTCGGCGTGGAGGGGGGGGGGGCGCCGAGGTCACGTCAGGGTCCGTCGATGTGTGTGTGTGGGGGGGGGGGGGGGGAGGGCGCCGAGATCACGTCAGGATCCGTCGGTGTGTGGTGGAGAGGGGGCACCGAGGTCACGTCAGGGTCCGTCGATGTGTGTGGGGGGGGGGGGGGGGGAGGGCGCCGAGATGACGTCAGGATCCGTCGGTGTGTGTGGAGAGGGGGCACCGAAGTCACGTCAGGACCCGTCGGCGTGGAGGGGGGGGGGGAAGGCGCCAAGGGTCACGTCGAGATCCGTCGGTGTGTGTGGGAGAGGGGGCACCGAAGTCACTCCAGGACCCGTCGGCGTGGAGGGGGGGGGGGGGGGGGAGGGAGGCGCCAAGGTCACGTCGAGATCCGTCGGTGTAGGGCGAGACGTATCCCGTCGAACGACAATCTTTCTCAGTTTGGAATTCCACGAATCACCGATATAAACTTTGACATTTTCCAAACGTCCGGCAATGGAACTTGTGTTCCTTTACTAAAGTGTAGTCATCTATTATTGTGTATTATTCCTCCGCATCAACCTGATGGAGCGCCAACGGGTGAGCAAGGTGAGCAGCAGCAACAGCCCTGTCGTCTGGCGAGGGTAGACAAACACATCTTGGTTCGCCACAATGAAAATTTACGCGGCCCTTTAGAGGCATGCCAGATTTAAAGTACGTACCTAATCAGGGTCAATGCTTTGGTCGGGAGGCCCTGTTATGACCACCAGCGTAATGCCATGCTCGAGATGAGTGTATGGAAAGGACGGGCATGGTCGGCTCCGCTCGCGCTATAGGAGGCTGCTATCATAGGTGAAAGGAGGCCACAGTGATGTCATGGTCTTCCGTGGTTGAGAACCAAGATAGGGTGCAGGCACATGCCATGATCGAGTAAAGGACCCGTGCAGTAAGAAGACAACTTAGTAAGTCAGGTAAATTAGATTGGTTTAAGCCCCCGCACAGGAGGAGGCCCGCTGTCGGAGTAACCCAGTCTTGATCGGGCTCCTCAGCGACACACCATCGGTCGCAGAGAACAGATTTGACCTATCCGGGCTTATCTCGAGAACGGCTGGGCCGAATTAAAAAGTCAGGTAGCAATCGATAGCATCCTATCGTGCGGTCTCGGACAACACAACAAACTTAAGTTTAAGTGTGTATTAAAGTCACAAGGTAATGCCAAATTTGTAAAATGTTACTTTTGGATACCTCCCGCGCCCAAAACGTATCACATTTACGATGGTGTCTCATGGATGGTGTGTAGCACCATTGCGCTCTGATCACACACGTTACGTAGGAATGCATCCCATGTTACGCGCGCCGTATGAGGCCTAGAGCCCGGGTCACGGCCCGTGCAAATGAATGCTGAAAGTGTAGGGCGTACATTTTCACGCTTTTTCATTTTGCGCGTCACCCGTCCGGGACCGGTGAGACTTCTCGCGCGGAGCGTGGGACAGCAAGCGAGCCGGCCATGGTCTGGAGCTCCCCCACGGCGCACCAAACACGACCATTAGGCCGAGAGCAGGATGCCGATCGGCCCGACGCTCCAGCCGATCGGCCCGACACTCCAGCCGATCGACCCGCACCGACGAAGCGACGCCAGATGTACCCCCCCCCCCACCGGAACGGCCATAACGGCGGCCCCTTCTGTCAAAATGGTCCATTGCGTCAATATAAATAGATGCAAGAGCCAGCTCCCCGGCGACGCAACATGCGCACAGAAATGTGTAACTGACACGTT